TTCACCCAAATCACAATTAAAAAAAAAAAAAAAAAATACCAAGATCAGCAGGACAACATGGCAGGCTGCTGAACGACAACTCGGCTACATGCAGGGTTCAAGCATGCCATCAGCTGGAGACCTTCCTCAAAGTGTCTTCTTACATACTAGAAGCAGCCCACACCCCTAAAGCAGCTACTCAGCTACTCCAGTAGATTCCACCATGGGTTAATTACCAGTCGCACCATGGGGAATAACTACATCCAGCTGCCCAGACACTACATCACTCCCCTTCCTCCCAGCCAAGTTGACATACAACCTTCACTAACACAGGCCCCATTAGACATTTTGCACCATCATTCCATCAGCCAGGTATTACTCTGGGTCTTAAGGATGGAATATGGTGATTCCTGAGGAACAGCGAGGAATGGTGTAGTTGGAGCATAGGAGTCAGGGGTGTGTGTGAGAGATGGGTTCAGAGAGGTGGGAGGGATGGTTGGCATTGCAAGTCTGGAATTCATTTTTTTAGCAACAAAAAATATTTTTTGAGTGCCCACCTGTGCCAAGCACAGTGGTAGACAATGAGTGAGATAGCTGGGAGAAGACCATCTTTCCCTCAGAGTTACCAGGTAAGCAAGAGGCAACAGGTGCATACATGGGTAAATTCTAGACTGGATGGTGCTATGAAGAAAAGCAAACAGAATGTTGTGATGGAGTAGGGGTGCACCTGGCTGGTTTGAGATAGGAAGGGTGGGGGGACATTTGGCTTGGGGAAGATCTAGGGGACAGGTATTGTGGGCAGTATTATCAGCAAGTGCAAAGGCCCTGCTTAAAATGGGAATGACCTCATGAGCTGGTGGAGGCCTCTGGCCTTGGCTAACTTCAAGAGGGAGAGAAAATCCAAATCAACGGCCCAAGGCTGATTCTTAGAGGAGTTGGTTGGACATGCCTCCTCTCGCCAACCTTTTTACCAAGTAGGATACCAGCTGTCCCTCCCATGGCAGTCTACTTCTCTGCTGGGTTTGATAATTTGTTGCAGTGTCCAGTGAAGTCACAGACCATACTCACAGTTACAGGGTCTATTAGGGGAGTAGCAGGTTACAATTCAGGATCAGAAATGACTCAGGGAACAGTTCTTTGATTAGGATGGCTTCTTCTTGTTGTGCTCATAGGTAGGCCTCTCCCTGGCCCTTGGCCCCTTGGCCCAGTCTCTAAACTGCTTGGACAAGTGTTACAAAGCTCTTTTGCTCTACTGATAAGTGCCCAGAGGCACCCTACTCACCGGTAAGCCTCTTGCCTGAAGGCGCTCAACTCTTGCTTGCTCCATGGGTCAGGAAACCCACCATGCCGTCTCCTGCCGGCTTCCCGGTTCTGCTACCTCTAATGCTGCCGTTTCTCTGCGCTGCTTCTCACCACCTCCAGTGTTACCACTCTCTGTCTCCTGGGTGTAGGAGGTTCCCAGCACAGGGACCTTGGGTCCAAAGATGTGCTGTACTAGTCTCTTCTTAGTGATAGTCAGGTTTTCTCTGCTCTGGGATTGGCTCTCTTTTAATCTTAGCAGGATGGCAAAATTGATTAGTCCCGTGTTAGGGTTCCATACACCTTATTTGCATGCAGTATGAGTTGTACCTCAACCTAAAAAAAACAAAAGTCCTTTCAACTGGACCAATAAGGAACATCCTGATAAATGGAGACAAAATTGATTTTGTCAAGGATTTCATTTTATTTGGATCTACAATGCGTCCTGTGGAAGCAGCAGTCAAGAAATTCAAAGACATATCGCATTGGGCAAATCAGCTGCAAAAGACCTCTTTAAAGTGTTAAGGAGCCAAGATGTCCCTTTCAAGACTAAGGTGCACCTGATCCAAGCCATGGCATTTTCAATAGCCTCATGTGCATGTGAGAGCTGGACAATGAATGAACCTTTGCGATGTGGTCTGTTTCCTGTATATAAGGAGAAGCCTTGGGAATGGTCTCTAGCCTACAGCATGCTTGGGCCCTGCATGTAGCCATGTTGTTGTTCAGCAGCCTGCTATGCTCTGCCGACCTTGGGACTTTCAATGGACTTAAGTTAATGGCCTGCTGTGTGGTTCGGTAACATCGGGACTGTGCCTTTTTACTTGTCAACCTTGGGGCTTCTCAGTCTCAGCAGCCAGCAGCTGTTTGAATGAAGAAATGCCTCTAGCTCCAGTGGGCTGGAAACAGGAGGCAGGGCTGGACCCCAAGGTTGAGGGGCTTTCACCCAGCCCCTAGAGCCTGGCACTTTGAACTTGGACTTAAAGCCTCCAAATTGTAAGAATAAACTCCTGTTTGTTAAGGCCATTCCATTTGTGGTATAGTTCTGTCAAAGCAGCACTAGGAAACCAGGACAGTGAACAACATTGAATATACCATGGACTGCTAATGAACAAATCTGTCTTGGAAGAAGTACAGTTGAATTGTTCCTTGTAAGAATAGCCAACTTCTTTCTCATACTTTAGTCATGTTGTCAGAAGGGACCAGTTCCTGGAGAAGGGTATCCTGCTTGGTAAAGTGGAGGGTCAGCAAAAAAAGGTAAGACCCTTAAGGAATGGATTGCTACAGTGGCTGCAATGATGGGTTCAAACGTAGCAACGACTGTGTGGATGGCGCAGGACCAGGCAGCATTTCATTCTGTCGTATGGTACATGGGGTGGCTGAGTCGGTACTGACTCAACCGCACCTAACAACTCCCATAAGGCTGTCATGTACCTTATTTGCATTATTAGCAAGCTGTCCAATCCCCTTGGTGAGCTACCAGCACCTTATTTGCATAGTCCCACCCAGTCATTTGGTGGAAGGTTGCAAGACCATGGCTAGAAAGGCTATGCAAAAGAGACCCATTACACTGCAGGTACAGAGGCGACCAGCGTGATTGGAGTTGAATGGAGGAAAAAGTGTGAGATGGGACCGTGGAAGTTGTTAGAAGCAAGGTTAAGTCAGGTCTCACAGGCCTCAGTGGACCTGGGGTTTTATTCTGAGTGTGGTAAGAAGCCACTGGACGTTTTAAGGAGGAAGACATGAACCAATTTACTTTGCATATTAGGATGTGTTATCTTCTTGTTCCCTTGACCACCTCCTCTCTCTGGATGGGCACCCACCTATCCAGATCACCCTCCCGCCTCCCTCATGGTGACAAGGCTGGCTCGGAACCAGGAAGGATTAGCTTCTCCTCCTTTCTCTGCCTGTGGACTGCACCCAGCTGTGGTTCCTCTTGCAGCCCTCTCCTCAGAAGTCCCCAAATCAAACCAAAAACCAAATGCACTGTCAAGTCAGATCTGACTCAGAGCAACCCCTCCTTGGGTTTCCGAGGAGGTATCACTAGGGAGGAAACTGCCCAATCTTCCTTTTGAGGAGTGGCAGATGGGTTTGAACTGCCAGCCTTCTGGTTAGCAGTCAAATGCCGTAGGTACTAGGCCACTGTAGGTAGTAGGCCGCCAGAGCTCCCTAAGTTCCCAGTGCTTTGTGAAGGTGTAACCAGTGTGAGATGGTATCACACGGCACTGTTCATCGTGCTGCCTCTTCCCCTCTCTCAGGTGCACCAGTGGTACAGTGGTTAATGTACTCGGCTGCTAACCAAAAGATTGGTGGTTCGAACCCACCAGCTGCTCTGTGGGAGAAAGATGTGGCAGTCGGTTTCCGCAGACTTTCAGCCTTGAGGACTTTATTGGCAGGCTCTCCTCTGTGCTAAAGGCTTGCTGTGAGTCACAACTGACTGGATGGCAGTGAGCTTTCTTGTTTTGTCCCCTCGCTGGCCAGGCTCGGACCGCCCAAATGAAGCATAAGGTCCTGCTTCCCAGGCCAACGCAGCCCCTTACAAACTCTTGGTTCTGGGGGGCCTGTGGGGCCTTTCCTTTCCCACTGCATCATAGCAGCATTGTGAACAATGCAAAGGATGACTTTGAAGTGCCACAGAGCCCCATGCAGTGACATCGATCCCACGACTCAGTTTCTCCCTGTTGTGCTCAGCCCAGCTGGCCGGGGATTTAAATCTACCAGAAACACAGATGAACATTCTGGAGCCAGACTGAACTGAGTCCTAGCTCCCTGGACTCCTCCCTTTTCCTGAGACCTTGAGTAAGTGACTTGACCTCTCTGAACCTCAGGCTCCTCCTATGTAAAATGCAATTAGCAGACTCCATGAGAAGTAAATGCCTTACTTAATATAAAGTAGTGAGAACAGTCAATACTCTGAACATTCAATGACCATCCTAACTTGGCAGAGAAAGGGTGCAGGTGTGCAGAGAAGTTACCATTAGCCCAGTGATGTAGTTATGTTTACAGATTAAGACAGCACCACCATTTCCAAAAGACTTTTATTAAAAAAAAAAACAACAACCAAAAAACATGACAAACAATCAAAAAAGAAAAAAAGCCAAAAAAAAAAAAAACCCACCACAAAACCCGCCCTTTCTTTTAAATAATGTGGCCTGGAGCGGTTTGGTTTCTACCCTATTGCACGTGGTCCGGCCTGGCTTTGTGAATCAGGAGGCTGGTGGGACTGGGGTCCTGCCAAGGAAGTTGGGTTCAGTCTGCAGGGAGGAGACCAGCCCCTCCCACTCCCTCGTGGTACAAGAAGCAGAGCCTGGGTTTCCATAGCAACCAGGTGGCAGGCACATTCATGTCATCCTGTGACAGGCCCAGCTTTATCTTCCCTGAGGCCACAGTGCTCACAAGGGGGAGGGAAAGGCGGAAAAACCGCAGATGCAGGAAATCAGACTCCCCGAAAGAAGAGTCTCTCGTTAAGGCATTTGGAAGAGATAAATTAACCCACCTTCACAGAAGGTTGTGGTAACCAGATACACAAACACACACACACACATGCAAGGTGGTCTGTGGAATCCCAAAATGGGGAGGGGGCACGCTCACTGCTTACAGCCCCTCCCCTCATCACAACAGTCACTCACACACACACACACACAAACACACACACAGAGTTGTATCCAGGGATCCAGCCAACTGAGGGTGAGATGAGAAAAGAGGCCTCTCCACCCCCCCATATTTCAGGACCCGAGAATAATCTCCATGATGTGATCTAGTTCGTTCCATTCCCAGGACCCTGGGGCGCAGAAGAGGTTGTGCGGGGGCTGTGGAGGGGCTAGCACGGGCTCCTTCTCTACCGTCGATGTGTCAATGTCCAGAAAGAAGTCATCCAGGCCAGAGTCACCCAGGTACTGGGAACTCAGAGATTCCAGGAAGACTGGATCGGCCTGGGGCAGCGCTTCACCCGGAGGGCCTGGGAGAGCCACTGGGTTCGGAGGGTGCTCAGCCTCATCCATGGATGTCTCCAGTTCTCGGAGGATGGAGCCGATGGTGGCCGACAGGGAGAAGTCCTCCTCACCCAGGAAGAGGGGCTCTGGGGGCAGGGCCGGTGCGGGGGCCAGGCGAAGAGCTGCCTGGAGCTGCTGCAGGGTGTTGTGGATGAGGACGTGCCTGCGGAGGCTGGGCGCGCGGGGGCCCAGGCTGTGCTGCACCTTGTCTAGGGAGATGCGGAGAAGGGCTTGCTGATAGCTCCTCAGGCCTGCTGGGCCCCAGCTCCATTTGGCCTCCTCTTCTTCCTCCAAATCCGAGTGCTTCCTCTTCAAGCCTCCCACCATGATGCCCTGCGGAGAGAAGAGGGCCAAGTCAGACACAGCAAGGCTAGTTCAGATCCCATTCTTTCTCGCCCGTAAGGTTGCTGATGACTTTATTTATCTGAACCTCAGTTTCCTCATCTTTTAAACAGAGATAGGATGAATCCCACAGGGCTAGGGAGGAAAGCAAATGACTAAGAAAACAAGATCTGGACTTAAGTAGAGCCAATATAGTGGGACTGAATCCTACTTACTTGCCTGCGTGGTCTCGAATAGTCAATTTACCTCCCTGAGCCTTGTTTCCATGTGCAAAATGAGGATCCTAACTCAAGTCTGAGTCTTAAAACTGTTCTTTCCATGACACTCATTTTCTTCAAACATGTCACACACAAGACAGTGTGGAGTACAGAGACCTGGACGGGAGTAGAGAATCCTGGGTCTGAATTCTGCCTTTGACACTGCTCGGCTGTGTGATGGAAGTGACATGACGTCACCTCTCTGGGCCTCAGCCTCATCTGTAAAATGGGGATTGTAAAAATACTTCTCACCACGTTGTCAAGGAGATCACACTTGTAATATACACAGGGGCTACCACACAGGAAGTATCAATGATCAGAGTTAACTGCCATATATTCATTCATTCATTCATTCAATAGTTTTATATATCAAGTCCTACTGTATTTGCCCTCTCTGGAGCCCTGCAGAGGGTCTTCCTGCACAGGGATGATATTTCTGTTCGTGCCCTCTTTAACTGACTCGCAAGAACAGAAAACAGGCCTTCCTCACCGCCTCAGCTTTCCCCAAAGCGTGCCCCATAGAAAAGCTGTCTAAAACTAAACTCACGTCAAGCCCCGCCCCCTTCAGACACACCCGACCTCTCCCTGGGTCGCTATAAGCCATTCAGACACGCCTCAATTTGGCCCATAGCCTTCTGGGAAATGTAGGCCTACAGCCAGCCCGTAGAAGAAACGACGTTGAACGCACACTACAATCCCCAGGGGGCCCGGCTCGCCACAGGGACTAAACTCCTCCACCCTCCCTCAGGGCATGCGCACGTCGGTCTGGGCTGGGTGGGGGCAGGGAACCCGGACATCCAGCTGCCGGCGCCTGCCGAGCTCCGCCCTCGGTTGCGTCCCGGGCGGCGAGTCGGAGCTCCTAGCCCGGAACACCCCTCCCCCACCCGACTCTCGCTCTCAAGCTGCTTTCTCTCCGTATCTCCGACCCCAGAAGGTCCGGATTATTCCCCAAAACTGCTCTCGGATCAAAGAGCCAGGCCCCAACACACACCTCAAAAAGACTACAAACGCTCTCCGATCCACTCTACTCGGGAGACTAGGTATTCCAAGTTGGAGACCGTCCCACCAACTTTTGCCCCGACTTTCAGAAGCCCCTGAACTTCACCTCCAAGCCCCCCTCCAGCTCCGGGACTCGAACATCGAAATCTGCTGGAGCATTCTCTCCAGCCACTGTGTCTGGGCGACCAAAATTCCTTACCCTTAGTTCTCTCATTTATCCAAATGCCCCGGACCCCAGGTCTAAATTCCTCAGCCCAAACTCCTCGCACCTTTTTCAGAACACTAGAGGTTTGAATTCAATCCATCCGGGAGTCCCAAACTGCCCTCATCGCCAGATGCCCTGGCCACAAAGTTCCTTCCCTTAGTTTTCTCGCTTCTCCAAACACCCTGTTTCCCAGGTTCAAACTCCCTCCACTTGAAGATCCCGCCCCGACAACTTCGCCTCCCGTCCCAGATCTGGAACTGAGTCCCTAGACCCCAGACTTACCAAATCTTATTAGCCAACCTTATTCTACGTGCCCCAATCCCGCCCAAACCTCGCCACAATTCCTGGATTGCGCTTCCACTTTCTTCGACCCAAGGCAGATCCCAAGCCGGGCAGCCAAACTCTCACCTCAGTTGCCTGGCTGCGAAGCGAGAACTCCCGGAACGTCCGCGGCGTTTGGACCCACCGGTGCTGAGCTGGGGCCTCGCTCACCTCCCCCGGGGCCTCTCTGTCGGGCCTCTGGCCCACCCAGCTCCGCCCCGCATCCGAGCCACGAGCCGCCATTGGCTGGAGCCCTGCCTGCCGCGGGGCACCGATTGGCTGGGCGGAGCCACCCGTCCGTAGCCAGAAGACGCCCAGCCCGCCCTCCCCTCCCTACAGCTCTGCACCATTTAAAGGATTTTGACTCCCCAGGGGGCGGGGCTACGCCTCCAGGATCGAGGGTAGCCGGGGAATTAAAACTACACTCTGTAATTCATTTGTTCTCCTCACTCCGAGATCTTCCCCTTATGCCACGCCTAGACATCATCGAGGAGGAAGACCTGCTGGCACGCCCCCCACCCAGCTTTCCAGGAGGGCGGGGCTGAACAACTCGCGGAGGCCTGGCCTCTGGGGTTCCAAGGGCTGGGGACACGAAGCAAGGGAGGATGACGCACTGAAGACTAGCCAATAGGCTGACGCGGCCTGTGTTGCCTAGGCGATGGCAGCTCCGTCTCGTCGTTGCCCTAGCTCGCTCTTTCCCTCTTCCGTTCTTTTATTGGGTGCCCCCCTTCTTAATTCTTGGGGCTTCTCGGCACGGCCTCTGATCCTCCCTTCTCGATCCCCTTGTCGTCCCGTGCTTTCTGAAAAGGTGACTTGGCTGCTGCAAACTCGGTTAGGGCTCCCCGCTTCCCTGGGGGATAAAGTCCAAGCTCTTTTCTTTTTCCACAAAGCCCTTCATGATCTGGCTGAGGGACTCTCCTCCCACGCTACGATCCTGCAACACAGATTCAGTTTTTCTAAAATGGCCTTAAGCGCCCACCCCCACCATAAACAGGAATTTTGTTTTCTACTCTGTCTTATCCCCAGTGTGTAAGACAATGCCAAGGTATACAGCAAACCAAACCTACTGCCATCAAGTGGATTTGGACTCAGCGACTCGCCAGGACAGGTAGAACTGCCCTGGAAACCACAGGGTTTCCAAGCCTGTCAATCTTTACCTAAGCAGACTGCCTCATCTTTCTCCCAGAGTGGCTGATGGGTTCAAACTGCTGACTTGTTGATGATCAGCTAAATGCGTTAGTCATTATGCCATCAGAGCTCCTTCAGGTACTTAGGAAGCACCCAAAAATCGGAATGAAAGGCCTCTGGATCTTTAAGCTGGTTTCCTCATTCTGAAACCCCATTGTGGTCGTGGAGTGGATTTCCACTCACAGTGACCCTATAGAACAGAGTAAAATTGCCGGTGGTTCCCAAGGCTGCCATCTTTACGGGCAGAGCTCTGATGACACATGGTTAAAGCACCTAGCTGCTAACCAAAAGGTCGGCGGTTCGAACCCATCAGCTGCTCTGTGAGAGAAAGATGAGGCAGTCTGCTTCCACAAAGATTGACAGCCTTGGAAACACCATGGTGCAGTTCTACTCTGCCCTAACAGCTGGAAATTGACTGGATGGCAGTAGGTTTGGAATCTTTAGGGAAGTTGACTGTCACATCTTCTGTGGACCAGCTGCTGAGTTCGAATCAGTCATTTTTCAGTTAGCAGTCCAGCAGCCAGCGCTATAACCACTGCCACCAGGGCTCTCCTCGTTCTGACAATATACCTTTAATTCCCAGACTGACTCAACTCATCGCAAGCGTTGCCTCCTCTAGGAAGCGGAAGCCCTTCCTGGCACTCGATCCGGAGCTTCCTGTGCCTCCCAGGTCTCTGGGCCTCCTGCCTGCCCCTCTCTGGTCTCGACCCTCTGCACGTGCCTCCCCGGTCCCACTTTGGGCTGTCGCTGTCTAGACTGTGGGTCCCCTGAGGACAAGTATCAGGGTTAGCTCAGTCCTCGGCATCACCCAGCTAAGGGCTGGATACAGAGCAGATGCCCAGTGAAAAAAAAAAAAGCTTGTTAAATGCTCAGGCAGTGTGACAGAACGGAAGAAAGAGGGAGGAGAGAAAACAGTGATGGTGCTCTGGAAAACTGACCAGAGGCACTCTCACTGCAAGACATCACAGGCCCGGGAGTGGGAAAGGGGGCAGGAGTTCTCCAGCCTACCCCTGTGAAGGGAGGTTTCTGTCTCCTCAGACCAGTTCTCATCGGTTGGAATTTGTCAACCAAACCAATCTGCTGTTTGCATAAGCAGCAAAGGACTGGACTGGACTCTTCAGGGGCGTGGCCAGGGGCGGCTCCGTCTCACTGGGTTGGAGGTAGGGAGAGAGAGATGGCTTAGCCAGGCCTGGGAAAGGTGTCCCCAGGGAACAGTAGATTCCAGGGAGGTACACTATTAAGAAGGCTGCGTTTTTCTCAACCTGTCTCCCCTCAGGATGCCCCCATTGTAAGTCTGTCCCTAGTCTTAGTCACCTTTCTCCTTCCCCACAACCTGTCCACTCAGGCTCCTCCCAGCTGTGGTCTCCCCATTCCCCCTGGGCTCCCAGGCTCCAGCCCTGCCCCCTCTAATCCACCTCCACACAGTAGCAACCCTAGGAAGCTTTCCACAACACAAACCCCACTGCCTTTCCCCAACTCCAGCCTCCACCCCACTCCCTCCTGCATAAACCTTTGATTAAAGTGCAGTTTTTTACAACGGATGCACAATTTCCCCTCCATGGACCAGCCAGCCACATTCCCCATCTTGCAGGAAAAATATTAACTGTAAACTTGTTGCCATCAAGTCAATAGCGACCCTGTAGGACAGAGTAGAACTGCTTCATAGGCTTTCCAAGGTTGTAGTCTTTATGGAAGCAGACTGCCACAGTTTTCTCCCATGCAGCTGGTGGGTTAGAACCACCGACTTTTTGGTTAGCAGCTTACCCACTGTGCCACCAGGGCTCCATGTATTAAGTCCAGGGGGACAGATTTTAGCCTTATGTTTTCCAACCTCCTGGCCTTTGTTCATTCTGCCCAGAATGCTTTCTGCCCTAAAACTGTTCCTGGGCTCATCATTACTGAACATTTAGGCTGTAGCTCAGACATCTCCCCTTCCAGAAAACCCTTTTTGTTCCTCAACCTGGGCTGGGAAAACCCTCTGTGCTCCCTGTTAGTGCTCTGCCCACTCCGGATGAGCAGGGCGTCTCCTCCACTGGGCTCAGAGCCATGAAAGAGTTCCCTGCTATCTCTGTCACCACTGGGTCCCCAGCACAGGGCCAGACAAAACTTAAAAAAGCAAACTCTAAAACGAGTTGCCGCAGAGTCGTGACACAGTCCCATGTGTATCAGAACAGAACTGTGCTAAGAATGCTGTTACTATGTGGGGAGTGCAGTAAATGTCACAAAACAGAATGTGTACGGATTGTTGAATGGAAAACCAATTTGCTCTGTAAATTTTCACCCACATCACACACACACACACACACACACACACAAATAACAGAACTGAGCTTCACAGGGTTTTTAATGGATGATTATTCAAAAACAGATCTCTAGGCCTTTCTTCCAACTGCCTCTAGGGAGACTTGAACCTTTAGTTAGCATCTGAGTACTCTACTGTTTGAACCACCCAGGGATCCAGACATAGAACGAGGACTCAATAAACTTGCTGAAAGAATGAATGAATGAATGAATACTCAGGAAATCTAACACAGAGTCAGACAGAGACCTCACAGTTACCCAGAGAAAGGAAGAGTCACAGAGTCAGGTCTGTAGAGTAATTTCAAGCTCTTGGCTCAAGATTCATTGCTCCCTGACTTCCAGGCTGTCCTTCCTTTGTTCCCAGAATGCTTTACTCCTGGATGGGGCCGGAGCCCTAGTCATACTGGTGGCAGGGGTAGGTGTTGTGCCCATCATACTTGTCGGTGGTGAGACAGCTCAGCATGAAGTGGCCCAGGTCATGTTTGGAGATGACCCGAGAGGGCCCTCGTCCATCCAGGGTCACCGTGTAGGCCCCAGTCAGTGGCTGGTCTCCTGTGAGGCAAAGACAAGCCAGGTGAAGCAAATTACCCTTTCCACCTCCCTCAGCACATGATCACACTCACGACCCTCCCAGGGGGCCAACTGTGTGCCCAACTCAGTTGCTATAATGAACATCCCACGATAGGTGAAACCCTTCCCATGTATAAGTCCTTTATTTCATTGGACAAATTCCTATCGATTACCTACTATGGACAGGCACTGGGCACACAGCAAGGGACAACACAGACAAGACTTCTTGCTCTCAGAGAGCAGACATTCTACTAGAGGAAGGCGACTAATGAGATTAAAAACCAAAAAAGTAAGATAAAATGTTAGATGGAGAGAAATGAAGCAGAGAACGGGCTAGAAATATTATTAAGCCCATTTTACAGATGGGAAAATTGAGTCTTAGAGTGGCAAAGGCTGGATTTGAACCCAGACCTGCTCTAAGCACCATGATGCTTTCCTCCCCTCTGGACCTCTCTGAGGCTTGAGTGATACGTCCTAGCTGTAGGTCTGCATATTATAGGCAGTGGAAGAGCAGACACATTTTTCTGACCTTGGAGACAAAGAGTTGATATTTCCAAAGCCTTGGAGTACCACTAGGTCTTTCTTAAACAGTGGGGATAGCAGAACAGGAATGGCAAACTGTTGAGAGGGCATCTAGTGGCTGCATTATGATAATGAAAAATAACGGTGGGAAAAATGTCCCTTTCCGTCATGAGGATTTGACAGTGACTGGTTTAATGCAGGGATCAAACTCAGTATCACCCATGGATGGGCAACCTGGAAACACATGCAACAAGAAACTCACAACCTCACCCATGTGCTAGTTCTGCCAGAAATGGTTTATCTGGATCTAACTGCGAGAAAACAGCAAGAAAAATCTAGAACGAGGGATATTTCTAAAAGACACCTGGCCTGGTTAGTGTCATGAGAAGCACGGCAAACAAAAGGCCAGACCAACGGTGGCAGCTAAATGTTTGTGGGATCTTTGATTGGATTCTGATTTGGGGCAAGGGAAGGTTGAAAAGATAGTTTTTAAAAACTGGTGGAGGCAACAGGGAATGTATCCATGACCATATATAAGGCTGGCGGACGATATTTCTACAAATGTATTTGTATATGCTGTAAGAATGTCCACATAACTAGAGCTAACATGAGGCCAAGTTATGATAACTTCTTAGGCACAGTCAACCACCTTGACGGAGTGAGTTGTTGGACCTGTGGGCTTAGGACCATGGTTGCACAGGATATCGAGCTCAACTGTCTTAACATACTACACAAAAACTTTGTTCTATACCCTACTTTGGTGAATAGTGACTGGGGTCTTAAAAGCTTGCTAGTGACTGTCTAGATGCAACAGTGGGTCTCTCCTCATCCAGAGCAAAGACGAATGAAGAAAACCATGAAGAAAACAAAAGACACATGGAAACAATTTGTCCAAGGGACTGGTGGACCATGCAAAACTCAGCCTATGTGACCCTGAGACCAGAGGAACTAGATGGTGCCTGGCTACCACCATCAAGCACTCGGAAAGGGATCCTGGATATTATAGGAGAACAATGTGGAACAAAACTCAAAATCATGAAAAAGACCAGGCTTACTGGTCTGATAGAGCCTGGTGAGACCCCTGAAACTAGGGCCCTTAGTGGGAGCTCTGGTAGCATAGTGCCTAAGGCACTTGACTGCTCACCAGAAGGCCGGCGGTTCAAACCC